CCTCCAAACGCATGAAAATGCATCTGGATTACGCATAGCATCGTCCGAATCGCACGGTCCCGTGTATTCGACCTATAGACCTGGACCCCCCAATACATTTTGCTGGATCAGCCCCTGGTATAATGGAATAACCAACAGTAAACGGACACAAATAGATGTGACATATAGATAGGTAGATAAATAGACCGGATGTGACCTCTAAATAAGCACAAAGTAAATGCAGTTAGATGTATTTATAGTTAAGAATGGATCTAGATCGAATGAGCTCATACATTAAATACATTAATTAATAACTGTATGCACAATTCGTGGTTCGCCCAAAATTCCAAATGTGACCGTTTTTAATCATAAATTTCGACAAATGGGACAGAGGTAGTTTTACGTTCAATTCATTGAATGTGTTCCCCTAACCCTTGCACTGCGACTAGCGCTTTGCCGCCTTTTTACACTCTAGTGTAACTTAATACTTCTTTTTACAACTTAAGTTATTTTTCAATCACATATTTCAGTGAAATATTATTTAGTATGTGAAATATTATGTTATACATAATTAAATCTTTTGCAACAGCGAAAACTAGCACATAATAAATCAAATAACATTTTTGTTTTAAGTTCTAAATTTCCCGCGTAATTTTAGGTTTTAACTAGCTTGGAAAAGCACGTCTTCAAACATAAGCAATCACGCGTAGAACGCACTTCACTCTAATAACTATCAGCGTAAATTGCTGAGTGCACGATTGTTGAGCCAGCTCGTTTCTACAATGTCTCTAAGTTTCATTTATCATTATTTTGGTAATGAAATAACTGAAATGATTCATTACATCCGTGAAATATTTGCCGGTCGACTGAACATTTAGTTTTGAACAAACCTCCGGCACTCCTAGTGTGATATCAATCTCTCCCGAGTACATCTGCCACAGTCAGACTTCAATTTTGTGGTCAATCACCTCACAACGCATGGTCTTTGTTGCGTAATTGTTTCAACTGAAACCGGACTACAAAAATAAAAACAAAATATATGTGACAATCGAACTATTTATTAATGTCTGACTTAAAAACGTAAATACGAACAATTTTATCGCAGACATCTGACGTTTTGCAAGGTAATGTTATTGTAATGAAATGGCGTATGTGATACACTAGTACTGGGGGAAAAAATAAAAACGTTCTGTTACCGTATATAGACGGGAAAGTAACTCACGCAAAGGAATTTCCTAACATCTCCGTTCATCTTGTTTTCTGGTGAATATTTTCATACTGTTGAAATATAAACGGATTCGATTATCAGCGTCTAACAGCCAACGGAACACAAAGGTTCTAGTAAGTTTAAAAAGGTAGCCATTTATTGTGTTATCTAATGCCTTGATGACTTGAAAGTACTACGCTTTCCGAGAATAAATCGTACATGTATTAAATTTGATTAACCGAACATTTCTTGCAGATTTAAGGCGTAAATATGTTGTTGGAGGGACCATGGAGGTACAAACGTTAGTACCTTCCATGGAAGGACAGGTATCTGCAGCGTCAATGGCAACCTCGGCACAGAAGTTCTCCGTCACCAGAGGGCGTGATTTGTATGAAAACTCATGGCATTTTTTTAAAACTGTTCACAGGAGTTCAGTAACGCAGCACATCTTGGAGACTGTAAGATTCTAAAGGAATGGTTGGATAGAGGTCACAATGTCGACACACGGTATTATACGGTACGTATATGTAGAACACTCGCAATAAATAACATGAATGATTTTTCACGCGAGGCAATTCCCGAGGGGACGCGAAGCTGCATTTTTAGCTTGTGTTGTTTTCATCGCTTGGAACTCAATTCCCGCGCGTGCGCAGGTGACGACCCTCCCGCTTTAAACTTGGTGTCGCAATTATATCATAAAAAGTGTAACACGACTGACTGTCTGTGAACTGTGTAGATAGTTGATATTGAACAAGTAGTTCGTGAGTTTTCAATTTCAAGTTGTTCAAATTTTACAATTTCATGTTTGGGTTTGGTCGGCCACATTCCAACATGAGATAGAACTTCAACGGAACGACTTGAACTTGAAAACGCACGAATTACTTGTTGCTATTCCATCGTAAACTCCATTTCTCGCTGAACGTATTTACAAGTGTATATTCCTAGTAGTTACAGTGGCTTGTAGCATGTCATAAAAGCACAATCGAGAGTTGAGCGTAAAGTTGATATTCAACGAATGAGTGATGACAGGACTCTAGCAGCAGTAGTATACAGCTCTAAAACAGAGTCGAGCAAATTGCATGTCCGATCAACTACTAATCTTTCTAAAAGTGTCGTCTCAAATAGAAGTATAATTTATTAGGGTAAACTTTTGAAATCATATACGCAACCACCCACAGATCAACACATTATGGTGGCATTAGAAAAAAAAGCAAGTCCATTAGCACAAACGATACAGCTAAAACAATGCCTAATAAACGATATATTACAAAACATTTTTAAATCGGTGAAGAGAGCCAGGTATTTTCAAACAAATGTGTTGCCAGAAACTGTTGACAGAAATTATCGTAGTTAAGGTCAAATGAGGTAATCAACATGATGTTGATGCCCGAAAAAACTGTAGTGGTATTTAACACCTAAGGCCAAACTAGTCTAGTTATGGTGTTCTACCATATTATTACTTTCCTTGTATTTATTTATTTATATAGATAATTTGTATTACAACAATTTCAGATTGAAATGAATCCATGGGTTTTTTTGATCGTTATTGCATTATTAATAAAGTAAATATACATATATTTTATTTGTATTCACAGTGGAAAACGACAGCATTGATAGAAGCTGCACAATTCAACCACTGTTCTGCCATCATATTATTGCTAAAACACAAGGCTGGCATAAACTACCAGGACGAGGTTTGTAAACTGTTCATTTTTTATCAATGTCTGAGAGTTCATAATTTCAAAAAAAAAAAAAAAAAAAAACTGAAAAAAATGATCAGTTAGCAAAAGGTCATCTTCTGGGTTTCTATACAGCCCAATAACTGCGAATAATGCCTGTGGCCTGAATTGATACTAAAACTATGGTGTCAACATAATAGAGACTCTATATGAATAACACGACAACTTTTACAGTATATAACAAGCAAGCAGTTGTGGGGGTAAATTATTTAATTTTTAATTTTACAGCATGGTAATACGGCATTGCTGTGGGCTTGTTGGAATAATTCATTAGATGCGGGGAAACTGCTTTTATCAAAATCTGCAGACGTCAATCTTCGCAATAAGGTGAGATGCTGGAATGTTAACCCAGAATTACGTCATCAGAAACATTTAGTGTTCAACTCACTTCATAAGAAAATTAAGAACTAAATACATGTGATACTGAATGTACATGGTTCTCATTACACGTGATGATGAATGAATGTGGTGCTAAATACACGTGATGCTGACTAAATAACGATGACCCCCCCCAGTGGTCATCACAGCAAGCATGTACCAGAGGTGATAAACATGCGCCACGCCGACCGCCGCCCTTTAATGTAACAATAATAATAATATTATTACTCTATACACATAGCTGAATGTCATATGTATGCGTCTGCCTGGGAACAGAGAAAATTCCGCGAAGTTCTCGTCTCTGAGACAATACTTAAAGGCGGTGGTCGTCGCGCTGCGCATGTGCGACATTTGTGTTTACTATAACATTGATTTTCCCACAATTCAATGCGCTCTTCTAATGGACATTCTAAGTATGAGGTTTGACCTGGGCGCGACCTGCGTTAATTACCAACGGTGACTACTTCGATATTTTCCAATCACCTGAAAAACACCTGATTAAAGTTTGGTAACGACTCAGTTTGTAGTCAACAAAGTCGCCATCTTTGTTTATATGAGACCCATATATCCCGCGCATGCGTGGCGCGACGACTACCGCCATTCAATGTTAGCATGATTTACACACTGTAACAAATTATCTGACAAAAATAATTCAATATTCAGTGTAGGATTGTAGTGAGGAGGAAATGTACATGGCCGAGTTCTATTCCATTCTATTCTATTCTATTTATAGGACTCCCACAATGCATTGTTCAAGATTCTTCATCCTTCCACATATCTGAACCCAATTAAGACTGCAGAAGATAAATATAAAGCATTGGAGTTTATTATGCTATTGTTAAACAATGGTGTCGATATGACGTCGACAGATAAGGTCAGTAGTTCTGTTCATCCACATTGTACGACTACTTTCGTTGTATTAACATTAAGTAGTGTATGAGAATTCGATATTCCACTTACAATTCTGAATCCACCATTACTATAATTCTTCGTAGAATGGTTTAACACCTATTCAATTTGTGAAATCTAAAATTGGTACCGGAAGTGACATACGAAATCAATATTACAAAGAAGCCGAGTTATTATTGCAGAAAGTTAAAGATGTAAGTATTAAGTACATAGAATGAATATGTCAGTTGACATTATGTCCGGTATAGTGTATTAACATTATGTCAAATGATTGGTGTCATGTTTTACCACATGCTACATGTGTATTGCCCTTATTCCATCTGTATGGTGTAGTGTATTGACATTGGGTCAGATGTCTAGTAGAGTGTGTTAACACTATGTCAGCAATCTGGTATAATGAATTTACTTGACAGTACGATATAGTGTATTGGCACGTCAGCTGTCTTGTACAATGTATTTCCATTATGATAGATGCCTATTATATTATATTGTATTGTATTGCCCTCATGTTGTTTGGAATTGTGTATTGACATGTCAGATTTGTAGCATAGTGTACTGATATTATGTTAGATGTCTGGTTTTGTGTATTAATATTAATGTCAGCTGTTTGTGGAGGAATCTGTTATAGTGAATTAACAGTATGCATCATGTCTGCTGCAGTGTACTGACATGTCAGATGTCTGGTTTACTATATATATCAGTTAACTGTTATAATGTATTGGTATTTTGTCAGAAGTCTGGTATCAGGTATTCGCAGTGTGTCAGATGTCTTGTAGGTTATATCAAATTTATGTCAGATGTCCATAGCGTATTGACGTTATGGGAAACTATATATGTCAGATGACTTGTATAGTGTATCAACATGTCGTATCATGCATCATATCGATGTAGTGTATTTATATGTTAGATGTATTCACAGTGTATTGGCATTCATAGTCTGGTGTGATTAAATTTTGTGTTTATAACTTATCTTACGCTCATACTGTATTCATGTGTGGTCAAAGCCACGCACGCCACGTGGTATTTCCTCCATAACCGCAGTAACCACACACATACAAGCTATTAGTTCAATTTATGCATAGCAATGACGTCACACGTAACGTGACGATATGATTTCAATTTTTTAATAGTCCGCAACGGAAAAATAATGTTTTATAATAAGAACTATTGTATGTTTTTTTATTCTGAGGTATAAAAGATGGTTTTTATTTCAATTGGCATACATCCTCGAAAATGTTGGCACCTCAAAGTCTCTCAGGGGAACACTGTTGCGCCCATGGCCATATGTATGCAATATTCTAATCGTACACTTAATTTTTTGCTTGCTTCTTATTAAGTGATGTATATTATTACACTGTCGAATAAATGACGAACGTTCACTAAATTTCAATTACCTTCCCAAAACCTAAATACAAAATAATTATTTAAAATTCCATGTGTTATCCACTCTACCACACTCTATTCAAACCCGTCGTTGTAGCGTAACATGGAACGCCTATGCTTCACAGGGGCAGTTGAGTTCGAATCTTATGTTTGTATGTGTATGTGTCATCTTGTTGAGATTCGTCAACTAACAAATCAAAAATAAACATGACTTTAAAGCATGGCACGTTGTATTATAACGTAATTATATGTATCATTTATTAGGAAAGAGACAATATAGATCTGCTGAAAAAACCAGGAGTTCTCATGGATACAGTGAAATTGTATATATTAGGTCATGGCGGTACTGGAAAGACAACTCTCAAGAATTCATTGTCAGGCAAAACGGGTGTTGTGCCCACATTGTTGAGAGTAAGTGTTTTTCACACGTTTTCTATAAATCGCGCCCTCTAGTGACGTGAAATGGTAACAAGCAGGTCATTCGAGACGTCGATAGTGTTTTAACAAGTAGTCGTCTATTGATGAAGATTACAAATGATGATTGACATTGTTTGTGTTGTTCGAGATTCAAGGATCTGCTTTACCTAAATGGTGTGCTGTTTGAAACATCCACTCTAGTTCACAGTCTCTATTTAGTAAGAGGGGCGTCACTGCTTGTACTTTCATTAAAGCTAAATTGATTCAGTGAGCTGAGCTGCAAGTCAATCATTCCTGATGCAAGCTATATTTTGTAATTGTGTTTAATGTGTTTTGTAAACAGAAACTTGTACGGGAATCTGGACCACCTCCCGGAACGGAAGTTCACCACAAAACGCCAGGAATAAGCATTAGTGACCTTAAAATCTCTGGAAAGCGATTCAATTCTTGGGATTTTGCAGGTCAATCTGAATTTTTTGTGTCACACAGTATGTTCCTCAATGACGAGGATGCTATATGTATTATCTTGTACAACATAGCTGACTCGACAGGAACCAGTCACATCATTAGACCACGTGATCTGATGGAAACATCTCTTCAACAAGTAAGTGTTCATTTCACTCTCTTGTCCATATTGTCAACAATTCTATCCATTTGTTCTAATATCATTCCCCTGGTTCTTAATTTTGAATCAAGTAATATGTGTTCGCCAGTTTCGCTTTATTGGCAAACCTGGACAATTGTCCTTTCTTTTCATATTGTTTCTCCATGAGTACACCGAACAATGTTTTATATCATTCTAACATTTACAGAATGGAATGGCAAAATATTCAAGGAGCCAGAGATCTCAACAGTCATATACGTCAAATGTCTATTCTAGTATTGAGTTTATTTGATATTTACTTGAACTACTTATGAAAATTATTCCAATGGAATGATATTCTCTATATTCATATATGATGTAATGTAATCATTAATTTAATGCACTCATTCCCAGGCCACTCAGTGGTGTCAAATGATGAAGGTTACAAACAAATCATGTCTACCCGATGACTTGGAAAGTAGACTTACTGTTATCTTGGTTGCCAGTAAAGCAGACTGGGCCAAACTGGAGCATTGTGAAGAAGAAGGTACAGATGATGCAAATAATACCTGTTATTATACATTAGACTAAAAAAATAGAATTTACCAATCCGTAAAACGTTCCCGAAAGTGTTGTAGATGCGTTGAAATGTTTGTTTTTGTATTTGGAAATTCTGTGTCACGTTTACATCATATTCAAACACTTTGTTTACTTCAGACACAGAAGAGCTATCATCACGTGGTGGAAATAGAATCCCGTGACGGTCACAGCACCAACACTTTTTACCATTTTACCAAATAACTGCTACAGCTGGGTGTAAACTCAGATAGTAATACAATATTGTATTACTAGTCTGAGGTGTAAACGATGTATAATAGTTATCACGAGAATACCTCAAAGTATGCACTCAGGCGATATGATCATTGCACTGCCTTCGTGCATACTTTGTGGTATTTTCGTAATAACCTAATATACCTTAGATGTAACACAGACCACATCATTTTTGCACACTGCTACAGTGCAAACACGTATTTTTTTGCATCTACTGCAATGTGTTATTTATTTAAATTGTTCATCTTATTTCACATATTTCAGCACGCGAAGTAGCAGAGTATATTAAACAGAAACTTTTTGAGCGATTCGGCAAATGTTTGGACATTGAGGACGTAATATTAATTCTTGACTGCCATGACACAAATAGTGCTGGGATGAAACAATTGCGAAAGATCCTGACAACGAAGAGAAAGGAGAAAATTAAGGTGAGTTAAACTTTATTATTACTCAATTTACTTTATGGTTTTATCGTCTTGCCACTCCATTATATAATTGTTAGATGGGTACAACGGTTCTGCGTTAAAGCCATGTCAACCTGTTTATATCATATTTCGATGGGGGCATTTTGATTCAGACTATTCATGTGAATCGATGCCTTGATGGTTTGTGAAATGCAGCTAGATCCAATATCGTCATTTATTGTCAGGACAATCTGCCACAAATGTTACAATCAGTGGAGGAAAGAGTCAGTTCCCACAGGAACATGAGGTCATGCAGTTGTTTCAGCAGAAGATAAAATCTTACTTCATAAAATACACTCACTCGGTGTTGGTCTTTGTGATGGAAATTCCCATTATTTTTCCATTATAACCATTGGCGGATTTAGAAGGGGGCCGAAGGGGCCGCTCCCCCTGTTTTTAACAACCAACAGGGCTTCGCGCTCGCGAACTTGGCCTTCCGCCAACTTATCGCTCCCCCCATTCTAGAATTGTAGATCCGCCCCTGATAACACCCGCAATATTTATTTTATTTTATTCTAATCTGTAAAATATCCGTAAATATTGTTCTTGAATTAAAACTTTACTACACATCTCCCACCAGAAACTAATGTACATGCCAAACATCTGCGCTGAGATTCTGAAGATGCTCAACACATGGTTTGAGCAAAGGAAAATGTTCCCTGTTATGTATTGGAATGAATATATAGAGTGCATTAAGAAAGAGATCAGCTCAGACCTGGAAGATGATTTCCTGATCAAAGCTACAGGATTCCTACACCGTATCGGTATGGTGAGTAACGTTGTTATTCAATAACGATGCCATCAAAATGTTATTTTTATTACAGACTCTAATAATTAATAAACGTTTGTAATATCATGAAATGACAAAATTGTGTTTCTGTTATTTCAGGTACTTTACATAAAATCTAGAATCTCCCCTGAAAGTCAAGATATTGTTATACTGGCCCCGAAGTGGCTATGTAGTGAAATACTTGGACCAATCTTTGCATCAAAGGACTTTTCTCAATTTGCACACAAATTAGAGAGAAAACAGATTTACACGAAAGAAGATATTCAGCGAGTCCTGGACGGAAATGTTGTCGTTGACATAGTTTTACTCATAAATCTCCTACGTGAGTTTGAAATTCTGTTTCCACTCAAGGATGGCGACTACGGTGTTGGTCATCAAGATGAGTTCATAATTCCGTGTCGCCTGCCTTCCGTTATGCCTAAAGATCAATGGCTGTTAAAAACCAATATGCATATATACGTCGGTAGACGTGTCGAATGCCGAAGTATTGCTGATATTTTTTCAGATAACTTTTTCCCTCAACTTCAAACACGTCTTCATGTTAAATTCACTGCCTTGGGACGCCCTCCAAGTGGTATATGGAAGGATGGTATAAAGGTATGTAAAGGCGTGGAAGGACTGGTACAACTAACCTCCAATGGCCGTGCTGTGAACGTAGTGGTGAGGTGTGAAAGAAAAGAGGAAATAGGAGATTGTTTCGAGGTTATGGAAATCGTAAGCTACGAAATACAGCAAGTGTTACACTCAGCATGCCCCGGTACCGAGGTAGATCGATATGTCTTAAGTGCAGAATCTTTGAGGAGCAATGAGAAACTAGAAGATGTATGCTACTATACATTAGATGAAATCCGCGAAGCCGAAGAAAAGAAAACAAACGTGTATCATAAAAAGGCTGGTAAAGAAGAAAAGGTTACAGACCTGATAGTTCCAGGATTTGACAAAACCTTCCTAAACGAGAAAGGTCATAAATGTGACGTTAAATGGATGCCATATGAAACGAGACAAGAGGTTATAAAACATCTCGAGCCTGAAGACCCCATGTGGCAGGATCACAGAATAATGGCACAGTATATGGGAATTGGACATGAAGATAGAAAGCTGTTTGCAGCACAAGCCAAGACACGCGGACAATACGTTACCGAGCTGTTCCTGGCTGAATGGTCGGCAAGGTGGGAAGCAAAAGTGAGACAAGACGGTGATAAAGCAGTAAAGTATGAAGAAAAGAAAGGTTTTGGATCCATCTATTATGAAAGTAATATTGAAAACCTGCTGAAAATAAACAACAAATACCTGCATCATCATGCTGTCACGGTTGTGTTGGAGAATGCATTCAAGAAATTAGAATAAATTGGGATCCCGTTTAGTATCCCAAGACATGTTTCGATCAATATATTGGACTCATCATTTGAAACATTATTAGCAAGTTTACTAACAAAGTAATGCAATGACAATTTACGTCGTAATCGCTTGCTTTTTTTTTTTTTACTAAGGAACAATTATTTATGTTGTTTAGATGAACGGCTATGATAACATAGTGGCACATGTACAGATGATTACACATTATCATAGGATCATGTCATATGTTGTTACATTACTTGCCGTTCAACACGAAATATCATTGTCGATATGGCATGATAAACGTCACAATATTCCGCGTCGACGCCACAGCCGGAACTACGTTCAATGACGACTTGCAATCAAAAACACAAATGGAACGGGGTACGCTGTGCTCAGTGTTATGTCCGAAATGGAAAAAATTGGGGGAGGGGGAGGTAAAGAACAGGTAAAATTGGGGTTATAAGGTAATAATATATTACATACATGTGCAATATACGTGGTAAATTAACCAATGAGTCATTTTGCATTATTTATTAATTTATAATATTTTTGCAACAATGGCCACCACATCACGTCATGCCAAGAAAATAAAAAAATCCAGTTTCGACCTTCAATCACTGAGAATACGCACCGGGAAGAATGTACCGTGCGTACGTAAGACTGGCGGTAATTTATGGGGGAAGATGAAACATCAAAATCTTCTGTGGGTTTATTTCTAACTTTTACATTGGAATAATGTTGATGGCAATGTTTTATTGAGTTAAGCACTAAAATAACGAAAGAAAACTAGTAAGATTTTAAAAGTTGTATTCACATAACTGTACTGCTTCACTTTATACGTTCAACACGATTCGTGGATGAATCTGTTTTTTTAAAGTTTGAATAAAAATGTCTGATATGGAGAAAAAAAGGATCATTCTTTTACATCACTATGATTTGTTTTGGTGCGCAATTTAAAGCGGGAGGGTTGTAATCTGCGCAATCGCGGGAATTGAGTTCCAAGCGACGATAGTAACACAGACGCTTGTTTGTAAACAATGACACGCTATGGCAATCTGACGCATGCGCAGGTGACGACTACTCCGCTTTAAACAAAATTATAAAACTGTATCTGAGGAATGATTTGATGAAATGAAAATTCATATGCACCAGTTACCCACTATGACAGATGTACAGTAGTGAAGTACAATTTATGTCGGTGTTTTAGATTTTTTTTCATTATTGGAGCCGAAAATCAATGGAGCCAATCAAGTTATTGAAGTAAAAACCAAACTGAATTTTGACAGGCATGTATTGAGGTAGAACATATAAGAACATATTCTTGGTGAATACAGAGTCTTGTACGTATCAAGTTCAGAGACCCAATTGGTCAATTATGAAGAAAAAAACTTAATTACGATTTGATGGTGTTAATATTGTCCAGTTTTTAAACAAGCCTGTAGGCTGATTGGCGATCCACTGGGACGCAAGGAATACTGTTTTGCTCTTGCCATGGCAACAGTAGAACATGAGTTTGTTGCCATCCAACTTGAATGAATATCAAGTTAGAATTGAACATTGAGTGAACTCCAAGTAATGTTGAATGCTTTATAGAATTCTGAACGCATGGTGAACTTTCGATCCAGTAGAAACACTGTAGAAAGAGGTTTGTCCAACATTTTTACTCAAAGAATTTAGGGCATACATTCGTTTGTGGTATTCTGAAGGGGTGACCTGCCTGTCAAGTTGAACAAAATCGGCCAGCCCAAAAGTACAAGTTAAAATATTTTTTTTTGCACTTCTGGGTTAAATTTGTTGACAACAAAGAAAGCAATATCAAAGACCAACCCGTAAACTGGACAAACTCAAACAGAGTAGAATAAGATATGCCAAAGACCTCCCCCCAAGATTTGTAGGAGGTACGAGTATAGCATTTTGTCTATGTTCATAACTTGATGAGAAATATATAAGTATTACTACACAATTAGGTTCACATCACATATTCACAAATTTCAGATTCTATTTATTCCATGTATTAATTTTGTTTTTTGTCGCCAGAAATCGAACACTACGTGCGCACGTCAAGTTTTTTTTCTCACGTACTGCGTCTAATTTGCATATAGGAATGCCGTTCTTTGAATAACGAGATTATTGAAAACTAATTGCCATCCGAAAATGATTTTCAGATTTGCACTTTCACTGTTATGTACAAATTGCTAAAATCATTACAAGAATCTGGGTATTTTGTGAGAGGCTTTAGTTATACAGTGGGCCAACACAGTATACCATATTTCCTCAATTAGATGTGCATTTTAATATAAATTAAATTACACAGTCGAGACTCTCAGAATGGTAATAAAGGACGGTGACCGTACAGCGCGTGTTCGATTATATTGTAAACAAACAGTACTTTGGTTCCAACGCCGTTTAAAAACTTGTTACACGTGGGCTAGTGTATGACCCGATAATATCTAATAATATCTATGTGGATGGCATGCATTTGGCAGCAAAATAAAATAATGACAAATGCCAAAAATAATATAGATAGGCAAAAACAACGAATAATAACATTTTAAAACAAAAGCTTTATTAAACAGATGTGTCTTGACGTTCTGTTTAAAATTACTGAAACTGCTTGGCAGCATATGGTACGTCCTTGCACAAACATAAGCCAGTAACTGAAAATAACTTGTCATAGAGTTGTTAAAATTCATTTAGATTATACCAATAAAGACATAAATTGAGGGGTACATATATATACTTGTTCCTACCCGAGTGTCTTCCACACTAGAAGTAACATTTTGAATTCAAAAAACATCCAAGTTAATTTAATAAAGATCAATGCGATGTGGTCACATTTTGTACTGTTTTATGACGTCATTTCATATGGACATGCAGACTACAATAGTGCTTTTTAGATTCTCGATTATATTGGCTTATATCAATGGCAACATTGGGAACATCAAGCGTAACTTAGATACTAGACACTCGAAATTGCGATTATTTGGCAAAACGTGAAATATTTACCATGGTTAGAGCGAAGTTACAGGGCGGCAACACGTTGTGTTGGACCAAAATAACTGTTATACTTTTATTTTACTGTCAATGATCTCGACGTATCTGATTTGAAAATAAACTGTTATTAAATGAATGCAGTAGCTTTGATTGACCACCAACTGGCGACTATTTGACAAAAAACGTATTGAGTGCATGATATAGTTTGTGTAAGTCAATGAATACTATTCCTATCGTGACACTCTTGTTTTCTGTCTGGGAATATTTGTTTTACAATTAGTTTACCCCTAGTCCACCCTACATATGCACGTACATATTTATTTACGGCAGCTTTTTATTGGTTTACATTAGAAGAAACCGTGAAACGAGTGGTTTGCGAATCAAAGTAATACGTTTCTATGAATTCTAGTATACCATATTTGCTTTTGTGAATGGCTGGAAATGAAGTGGATATCTATATCAAAATAATTGTTGATGTTTCTCATAACTTCAAATAACATATGTATGACCTGGAAATAAAGCAAAGAGATTAATAGAAGTGAATATTGTTGAAACAAATCGGCAAATATATTAATGTTAAAAAGTAAGTACATGGTAAAGGATTTGTCTTGGTAACCAAATGCTAAATTTATCATTTATTGTGTTTTTGATGATTTTTTCTTTCCAATTTGTACAGAAGTTATTAAGGCGAAGGATGTGTTGTAAGATTCCTTTCCTAGGTGAATGATCGAGGCATGGGTGTTACAAACATTGACGCAAAACTTGTCTTTATCACTGACTAAAGATAAAGAACTCGGAATAAACGTGTGCCATTTTTTTGTCTCAAAAACCATGCAACAATATTTTGATCATTTCATTTTCTGTTTAGGATCATGTTCAGCCTATGAGTATAGTATCACATAACTTGTATACCATGGAGTTCATATATCTTTCTCTAACTGACTATATGTAGTGTTATATGCGATATAAGCGGTTACGGTCTTGATGTGAAGATAATGTGAATACAAGTTTTCTTTTACTCGTTCCATGTGGAGTTATCTATTGGCCCTGTCGTTTTAACATTTATTATTGCTTTGGCATACAAGAAGATTACTTATTTTGACATATCGGCTTTCTTTTCCGTTAAGGAAAACAAGTGGCCTTATAACATAACTCGACTGGTCTGTTATTTGGTTTTACTTTAATTGCACATGGCATGCATTTTCTAGAATTTATTCAATCTTTCCTTATGTTGCCCGTAATATCGATGCTAAATAAACATTGTTTTCAACTGATCTATTGGTCGCAATTTTATTTGTTAAACTCACGCTGTTATACTAAATTTATATGACATTGATATTCACGAATATCACGTTCGAAAATTTCATTTTTGTCATGTCAGTAACAATAAATTACATTGGTATAATTGGTCAATTTACGTGAATATCGATGTCTAAATATGCTAATTTGCTGATTCATACGATTATGTAGTTTCTGTAATTCTGTAAAACAAATCTTGTTTTCGGGAATATTAAATTAATGATGGAAAATTGACTAACTATTAAAAGATATATATGTATCATGTCCTTATATGGTTGTATGGTAATTGGTACTGCATTTAACGTAACAAATTACACACAATTTATTATCACGAAAGAGAAACATTACATAGCAGACGATAAAAAATCATAAACACATTTTCATCTGTACACCCCCGTAATCTGTTTGCTACTGGTATATGCCATACACAAATAGCGAGTTTTAAGTGCCCCCTAACCAGTCGGTCATACAGTCTTCTGATACAGTCTAACTGATCACTGAAGAAAAGGTATTCTCTACAATTCGATACAGACTGACCTGTAAGTTTCTTATTTTTAACATTCACACAGTTCTCCAGATCAATATGCCTTTGCTACTCAGAAACAATCATACTTACTAACATGATTTTAGACCACTGTATTTCAGAGAAGAGGCTAATTTTTAATCTTGCAGTAAAAACATTATTTTGTACATGCAGATCTTTCACTATCAATCAT